TTTTTTTTTTTGAGGAACGCGAGTCTCGCTGTGTCGCCCAAGGCTGGAGTGCAGTGCAGGCGATCCCGGCTCCACTGCAAGCTTCCGCCTCCCGGGTTCACGCCATTCTCATATATATTGATTGGTAAAGACAATAACGTGTAAGATTGGTTATCCTGGGTCGGGTGCGGTAGCTCATGCCTATAATCCCAGCACTTTGGGAGGCCGAGGCAGGCAGATCACTTGAGGCCAAGAGTTCAAGATTAGCCTGTCCAACGTGGCGAAATGCCGTCTCTACTAAAAATACAAAAATTAGCCAGGTATGATAGCGTGTGCCTGTAGTCCCAGCTAATCCGGAGGCTGAGGCACGAGAGTCACTTGAACCTGGTGGGTGGAGGTTGCAGTGAGCCGAGATTGCACCACTGCACTCCAGGCAGGGTGACAGAGTAAGACCCTATCTAAAAAAAAAAAAAAAAAAAAAGAAGATTGGTTATTTTATAAAATGCTCCATTTTCTTGATTTGTATGGTTTTTCCCCTCATGGTTTTGTCTAAATTGTTCCTTTAGCCTTCCAACTTCCTATAAACTTGACTTTAGATCTAAAGAGTTGAACAGATTCAAGTTAAATATTTTGGCCAGAATAATCCATAGGTGATGCTGAGTATGAGGTCTAATTGTTTAACAGCATAGGTTAATAGGACAGTTTCATTGTTGTGAGGACCATGCAGATAACCAAGGTACTGGTACACAAGCATGCTTATTGCAGCCTGACAACAGTGACAGTGGATGGAGATGATCTGCCCAGACAGCCACTGCATGGAAATGAAAAATAAATCACATGCTTTCTCTAGGACTCAACTCAGTTTCCATATTTTATTTATTTATTTATTTATTTATTTATTTATTTATTTAGAGATGGAGTCTCGCTCTGTCACCCAGGCTGGAGTGCAGTGGTGCAGTCTCAGCTCATTGCAACCCTCGCCTCCCAGGTTCAAGCGATTCTCCTGCCTCAGCCTCCAAGTAGCTGGGATTACAGGCACCTGCCATCATGCTCAGCTAATGTTTGTATTTTTGGTAGAGATGGAGTTTCACCATGTTGGCCAGGCTGGCCTTGAACTCCTGACCTCAAGTAATCCACCCACCTCAGCCTCCCAAAGTGCTGGGATTACAGGCATGTGCCCCCACCCCCAACCAGTTTCCTTATTTTAAAGGGAATAATTGAATTATATTATTCTGAAGGTCTCAAGTTTCAGATCTCGTGATTCTGTAAATTATACCAAGAACAGGAGAGGGTTATGCAGAGAAAAGCTGGAACACGTGGAAAACATTAAACACTAAATCTTAGGCAAGAGGAGACAGCAATCTGATGAGGTTGGACTACGGCCATTCCCGAGTGGTGCCACTTTCCCAGCAAAATCTAACAGAATGGCTTACAGTGTTGGCTCTTGAAATTGTAAAGAATTTTATTTTGTGCACAACACAGACAGACCTATATAAGTTGCATGTTGGTCTTTTCCATTTATTTTATGCCCCTCTTAGCAAATGCTTTCTTCTCAACCTGATTCATCAAGACTCTTTTTCTAACTGATCTGACCAAAAAGACTAAAGCAATGTTTATCAAAGTGTCTTTAGACCACTAACATGAGAATCACATATGGTTACTTGAAGTGTTAAAATACAAATTTCTAGGGTCTCCATCCAGAACCGTTGAATCAGAATCTCTGGGAGTGAGCCACTGAAGCCCGCATTTTAACAACTACCCCATGGTATTCTGATGCACACCACAGTTTGGCCTGTAGCAGTGGGTGGCTTGGAGGGCCAAAGTTGGAGGTACCAAGTTGGGGTAGTGCCTATCGGTCTTGCAACACTTTCAGTCCTCCTCTATTTCTTCTCCCCTCCTACAGTGCACCGAGCCGCCCTGGCTTGTGGCAGTGAGTTCTTTGGGGCCATGCTCCTGAGCGGAATGAGGGAATCCCAGGGCACAGAGGTATCTCTGAGGACCATCTCCACCCAGGACCTGCGACTTCTCGTCTCTTTTGCTTACTCTGGAGTTGTGCGGGCAAGGTGGCCAGGACTACTGAGAGCTGCCCAGGCTGCTTTGCAGTACCAGAGCTCTTCCTGTCTGGATTTGTGTCAGAAAGGCTTGGCACGGGGCCTCAGCCCTGCCCGTTGCCTGGCCCTGTTCCCCATGGCTGAAGCCCCTGGGTTGGAGAGGCTCTGGAGCAAAGCCCGTCACTACCTCCTCACCCACCTGCCTGCTGTAGCCTTGTGTCCTGTTTTCCCTTCTTTACCAGCTGCCTGCTTGGCTGAGCTCCTGGATAGTGATGAGCTCCATGTGCAGGAGGAGTTTGAGGCCTTTGTGGCTGCACGGTGTTGGCTAGCTGCCAACCCTGAGACCCAGGAGTCAGAGGCCAAGGCCCTGCTGCAATGCGTCCGCTTTGGCCGCATGTCCACCAGGGAGTTGCGGAGGGTGCGGGCAGCCGGGCTACCTCCACCCCTGACCCGGGATCTGTTGCACCAGCTGATGGTAGAGGCTGATGTTCCAGGCCAAGAGAGACGGAGGGAGCCTGACCGGGCACTGGTAGTGATTGGCGGGGATGGGCTCAGACCAGACATGGCCCTAAGACAACCATCCCAAGCAGTGTGGTGGGTCCGGGCCTTCCGCTGTGGTGTGGGACTGGTACGAACTGTTGAGTGGGGGCAGTTGCCTGCCCTGCCTGCCCCAGGACGCTTCCGGCATGGGGCTGCGAGCCTGGCAGGAAGTGAACTCTATGTGTGTGGGGGACAAGATTTCTACAGTCACTCCAACACCCTGGCTTCAACTCTCAGGTACAAGCTTCAAGAGTGGGTAGGGTGTGGCAGGCCCTAAGGTGGGCAGGGAGAGAAATTGCTGGCCTAGCCGACCACAGATGCCCAGAGTCACTCTTCCACTCTCTCGTTCTACTGTGTCCAGGTGGGAGCCCAGTCAAGAGGGCTGGGAGGAGATGGCTCCTTTGTCCCAGGCTCGAAGCCTTTTCCCGTTGGTGGCACTGGATGGACAACTTTATGCCCTGGGTGGAAGACACAATGGTGTTGCCCTGGACTCTGTGGAGGCCTACAACCCTGAGCTCGACGTCTGGAGGTGAGCAGGCAAGGGGGCATCTGGGAGAGATTAGGAGACTTGGACTAGAAGGAGAGTCGAAGATGCTAGTTGCCTTATCTTGTGTCCCGTTCTCCCTTAGGCCAGCACCTGCACTTCCAGCACCGTGTTTTGCCCACGCAGCTGCGATTTTGGAGGGCCAATTGTATGTGAGCGGTGGCTGTGGTGGGACTGGCCAATACCTGGCCTCATTCCTGCACTATGACCCCAAACTTGAGAAGCCAGGGACATTTCTGCGCCCTATGGGGGTACCTCGGGCTGGCCATGTCATGGCTGCATTGGGTGGGCGGGTGTATGTGGCAGGTGGGCTGGGTGAGACTGGGGACCTGCTAAGCTTTGAGGCCTATGAACTAAGGACTGATAGCTGGACTCACCTGGCACCCCTACCCTCCCCCCATGTGGGAGCTGCAGGTGCTGTGCTGCAGGGGGAGCTACTGGTGCTGGGGGGCTACAGTCACCGTACTTACGCACTCTCCCACCTTATCCATGCCTACTGTCCTGGCCTGGGCCGATGGCTTTGCCTGGGAACTCTGCCAAGGCCTCGGGCTGAGATGCCTGCCTGCATCCTGACACTGCCCACTGTGCAGCACATAGCTGTGGTTCCCACCCCACACCAAACCAAACCTGCTGGGTGAAGAGGGAGCAACAGTGTATGGGGAGAGGAAGGCATAAGAAATAGCCTGAGAGAAGGACAGAGATTGTGGGGAGAGAAAAGAGAAGGCTTTATTCCTTGATAGTATTTTATTCTCACACTGTGCATTGTAAACTGCTTTTGTACGTATGATCTCCATTGAGGAAATGGTGGTTCCAGAACTCCCGGGGAACACATATAGGGGAAGGCGAGAAAGCTGAATAGCCAGGTAAGGAAAGGAGACTTGGGAGCAACTCCACAAGGCTTAGGGATTCTTAGGGAAAGTGCATCTGGTTTGAAAGAGAGTTAAGAAGCTTCAGTAGGCTCATGCCTGTAATCCCAGCACTTTGGGAGGCCGAGGCGGGCGGATCACAAGGTCAGGAGATCGAGACCATGGTGAAACCCCGTCTTTACTAAAAACACAAAAAATTAGCCGGGCGCGGTGGTGGGCGCCTGTAGTCCCAGCTACTCGGGAGGCTGAGGCAGGAGAATGGCGTGAACCCAGAAGGCGGAGCTTGCAGTGAGCCAAGATCGCGCCACTGCACTCCAGCCTGGGCGACAGAGCGAGACTCCGTCTCAAAAAAAAAAAAAAGAAAAAAAAGAAGCTTCAGTAGCCAAAGTGTAGAGACCATGGGAGGACAGTTGGAAAAATGGTTCTGACCCATTGGTCAAGGGAAAAATGTAGAATGGCCATCCATGAAAGAGTTTGAGGAGTGTGGGAGGAAGGACTGTAAATCGTTCAGCCTTTTTTTTTTTTGCCCGGGACTTGCTCCTTTCTCCTCTCCCATCCCTGGGATGCCTAAATCTTCTTAACAATATTCTTTCTCAGGTAATTTTGTAGGCCTGGTCTAGCATTTCCCAGCTGAGACACCACAGGCTGCCCCTGAGAACCTCTTGGTTTCCTTCTGAGGCAGAAGTTCCCACATAGACACGCACAGCACAGGGGCCTGAGAGGCCTGACGGGCCCCCTAGGGCCATGCGGCGGGAGTGTTGTGTGGGGAAGATGATGGGGGCAGAGGCCAAGGAGGGAGAGGCCCACAGTGGAAAAACAGATGATCTGAGGTTTAAGGAGATGGGATGGAAGAAGTCAGAAGCCTGTCTGGCTTCTTTCTTTCCCTTTGGGCAAACTGAGGAATCAGGAGTGAAAATCAGACCGTTGTTGCCTGAGGTCTCACATGGTGAGAGGATGTGGCAGACAGAAGAGTGAGAAGCAGACATGACTTAGAAAAGCCATTTCCCCCTTTCAGTCCCTTTCCCCCAGAGTTATTTTTAAATCCATTTCCCTTTTTCTCGGCCAGGGAAAGTAGTCAGGTGCTTCCTCTTTCTCTATTCCCCCATCCTGCTCTCCCCACTGCCCCTCTTTTTTATTTCTTTCTCTTCTTTCTCCCTCACACAGTTATGAATTACCTACTTGGTGGCAGGCACTGTAGAAGGCACCAAGGATACAGAGATCAGAGAACTCTGACCAGCAGATAGACGTTAACAAATACAAGTTTTGAGTAGACTTAGACATATGGACAAGTCTTAGATGTATGCGCAAGTCTTGTGAGAGCCCATAGGATGGAGCAGTGAACTCTGCCCAGGAAGGCTTCTGTTAGGGAAGGTGTCATCCAATGGGTATATTTTGAACCAGATCTTAAAGGCTGCCTAGAGTCTCACCCACTAGAGAAGGGGGAATGCATTTGAAACAGAAAGAAGTGGGGCATGCCATGCCCTGTTTCTCCATAGCAAAGGGGAAGTGAGTATTCCAGAGGTTCTCCAGATAATTCTGTTGCTCTTGCCACCTACCCTCTTCTCTGGAGCCTTCCTGAGGATAATGGCTTTCACTTAATGATTGTATATTCCCACCCTCTACGACTCATCTCTGTCCTTCCTGTCTGCTCTTTCCATTTCTGCTGACTGGACAGCTGAGAGCAAAAAAGGGTCAGTGTGTGTGTGTGTGTGTGTGTGTGTGTGTGTGTAGGTCAATTTTCTTTTTCTTTTTTTTTTTTTGGAGATGGAGTTTCACTCTGTTGCCAGGCTGGAGTGCAATGGCATGATCTCAGCTCACTGCAACCTCCGCCTCCTGAGTTCAAGTGATTCTCCTGCCTCAGCCTCCCTGAGTAGCTGGGATTACAGCTATTACATCTAATTTTGTATTTTTAGTAGAGATGGGGTTTCTCCATGTTGGTCAGGCTGGTCTTGAACTCCTGACCTCAGGTGATCCACCCATCTCAGGTGATCCACCCACCTCAGCCTCCCAAAGTGCTGGGATTACAGGTATGAGCCACAGTGCCCGGCCTGTGTAGGTCAGTTTTCTATTACCATTGTTTATTAAGATTTTCATGTTTCTAAGGGTGATGATGGAGTCTCCCTTGCACCCTTCTTCATTCTGGCCCCAGAAGTACTTGGTGTGTATTTTATTTATTTATTTTTAGATTTCATTATTTTAGTAAGGTTTTCTCTGTATCTCTATTTAAGATAGACTAGGAATGTAACTGAAAATGAGAAGGGGTAAGTAGGACATATAAGAGATAAGAGAAGGAAGAATAAAGAAAGGGAAGAAGGAAATTGAAGGAGATGAGAAGCTATAAAAATTGGATGAACCTCTGTGAACATTTTTTGTGATTTGTATCCAAAGACAGGCTTAAATAAAGACTTCATAGTGACTGAATCTTTCTTATCTGAGTTTCTCTACTATAAAAAGCATTCAAAATAAAATTCCCTGTAATCTGCCTTCTAGGTCTACCACATGATTGAAATCATCTCCCTCCACTGTTACTGTGACCTGCTTCTTACCAAATCTAACAATCTGTGGCCATCTTCATTCTCTTTCATCTTTCTGTAGGAACTGATTGGCTTGAAAACTGGCTCTTACCCTAAAAGTTTCTCTTCTCCTGGCTTTAGAGATAGCACACTGTCCTGGATGGACCTTCTCTTATTTCTCCAATCCAAAATCCAGTAAGCCAGATCAAAGTGTCCAAGGGGGTGTGGCTTCGTCTCTAGTGGAGCTAATAGCCAAGGATCCACAGGTATGTGGATGAGGGTGGTTCATTGGAGAAAGTTCTGACTTTCATTATTTATCTTTAAAATTGAGGGTAGAGTGAGGAGAGAGGAGATCTCTGACTTGAAGGAGGACCCTATTCAATAGTCCATTTGTCAGTGAGAAGGGACTGAATATAGGCAACTTAACAGCCTGGGGCCTCAGCCAGGCGGACTAAGAATAAAATAATATCAGGGTAACATTTCAACCCCAGAAGGGAAGTGGAGTGAGAAGTAGGAACTGGGATAGAAACCATGCATACAGATTGGGCAACCATGGTGGGGACCTGGCAAGGCTAGTTTGATGACTGTAGAGGCCTGAGATTCTTACCTTTGGTGAATCAGAAAATAAGCCAACGTGTTCTAGATGCTCTCTAATAGCTCCCTCAACACTCTTCCCTCAACCCCCTTTGTTGGTGAGGGTGAAATTTCTGATATCTCTCTTATCTTTTCAAGGTTGACTCAGGTACTGGGTAGGACTGGACATGCAGGTTAATGTTTAGTACAAGTAAGTGTGTGGGATTCTATGTATCACTTGTCTCCTGTGCCTAGTCCTAGGCTGCTTACGTTCTTCCTTTCCTTTGCTTTAAGCTCCCTGTCGGGAAGCTCACCTCTCCTCTATCTCCAACCTTGATGGTTCACCTGGGTTCTAGTCTGTTTTTTTTCAGTGATTCTCACCTCCATTTAGACGTACCAGCATCATTAGTTCAGATTCATTATGTTTTATTCGCACTATCATTTCCCCTGTTTCCTGGACCTGAAGCTTTGGAATCATCTTGAGCTTATTCTCCCTTATCTTTTTTTCTTCACTTGACTCATCATGTAATACTGGACTACTGAAATAAAAACCGACTTAGTGTCTTCTCCCAATCTTTTCTATGTTGAATATAATATATATGGAAAAGTTTTAGCCAGGTATGGTGACACACACCTGTAATCCCAGCTACTTGGGAGGCTGAGGCACGAGAATTGTTTGAACCCGGGAGACGTAGGTTGCAGTGAGCTGAGATCGCGCCACTGCACTCCAGCCTGGTTGATAGAGTAAGACTCTGCCTCAAATTAATAATAATAATAATAATAATAATAATAATGATATATGGAAATTTGATAGCAAGGAAGATTTTAAAAATAGAAGAGTAAATTTATATGAAAATTTCACTAGCTGTGAAACCAAAAATTACTACTTACCCAGACAGACACTGTGGGTTGTAGCAGCAACAATGTCCAATCAAAAGAATGAAAAACTGCCAGGCACTGTGCTACATGCCCATAGTTCCAGCTGCTCAGAGGGCTGAGGTGAGAGGATCACTTGAGCTCAGGAGTTCGAGTCCAGCCTGGATCACATAGTGAGACCCCTATCTCAAAAAAAAAAAAAAAAAGAATAAAGGAAAAATTGCATAGAAAGATTATTTAATAGAATTATAGAATGGAGCAGTTTCAGAGATCATGTAATTCAAACCTTTTGTTACACAGCTTAGGAAATAAAGGTACGTGGTACACAGTCTAGATAATGAAGAGGAAGGCTTTTCATGAAACTAGTCTCTCATATACATTAGGACCAACAGGCAGGCTAAGACAAACATCGCAGGTGAGGTCTGTAGACAGGACAGTCACAATTACTCTTTCAGGATCACAGACTATATTCTAAATCCTGTCTAGCCCTTGAGATCAAGAAGCCCTAAGTGAAAAAGTGTGAATTTATCACAGCTCCTGGTAAAACACCTACCAAAAAATTTATAGATGGACAGGTACTTATGTGTATATACATACATACATTTATATCATTAGTGGTGAGATTATAGTCTTTTTTCTCTGAGAGAGAAATGATCATGGTATTATTACTATAGCTGATTCAGAATATAATAATCTATATTTCCTATTTGATATGTTTTGGATCTGAGTCCCTGCACATATCTCATGTCAAATTGTAATCCCCAGTGTCAGAGGTAGGGCCTGGTGGGAGGTGATGGGTCATGGGAGTGGTTTCCATGAAGGGTTGAGCCCCATTCCCTTGGTGGTGTTATTCTGGTAGTGAGTTTTCGTGAGATCTTGTTGTTTAGAAGTGTGTAGCACCTCCCGCCTTGCTCTCTTTCTTACTCTTGCTCCTGCCATGTAAGACGTTTCACGCCTCCTTTGCCTTCTGCCATAATTGGAAACTTCCTGAGGCCTCAGGCCTCCCTAGAAGCAGATCCTGCCATGCTTCCCGTATAGCCTGCAGAACCATGAGCCAATTAAACCTCTTTTCTTTATAAATTACCCAGTCTTGGGTATTTCTTTATAGTAATGTGAGCACAAATACAGTATTAGAAGAATGACAAAAAAAAAAAAAAAAACCCAAAAAGTATAGCCTTGAAAGTGTAC